AAAAGAAGAATAAGATGTAAAAGTAATATACAATAGGGACTATACTAATAAGGTAGATCAAGTTATAGAGTCTCCACGCAACTCATGTAATTTTCCCTATTTTTTACAACAAAAAACAAAAGAAAACATTGGGGGCTGAAGAGAGGTTTTAGAACAATTCTCTCTTCTTCTTCCTTTTCTTCCATCTTCTTCCTCCATCATTTCTCTCTCTTCAATCTCCTTTTCTTCTATTTCTTTTCTTTTAATTCAGATTATTGCACATGTGATTTACAACTTGGTATCAGAGCAAGTTCTCACCTTCTTTTCTTTCTTCTCTCTTTGCCTATACAGAGCACGTGCGATTTGAGTTGGATAGGGTTCTAGAACCTCTAGTAGGAGTGGTTGAACTTTCTCTTCTTCTCCCCTTCGGGGTTTTGAGTTCCTTACCAGATTCAAGCCAGAGTATGATATTGTGAGACAGAATGTTTTGGCGACGGATGAGGTGACTTTATCTCAAATTTATGCTATGGTGAGTAGTGAAGAGAGCAGGATACAAGTGTAGGCGTGCACCTTTTGAAAGGGGTGCACCTAGAACCTGGGCCAGGCACATACCCCAAAATGCACCTCGCTTGAGCAACTAGGTGCACCTTTTAAATCACTGATCCAAAGCAAAGCTGCTCTTACAACCCTCCACATTATTCTTCCTCTTCAGTGGCGCTAAACAAAGGCAGAAGGGTCAAAAAGCCTGCTTACATCTGCTGGCCTATTCCACCTGCATCCAAAAATCAAGAAGATCCAATTAGTAAATAGTTGCAGTCCTCAACAAAGGATTTTCAAAGAGTACACCAATTGGGTGAGATGCAAAGAGAGGGCCTTCTCCTTTGTAGATTATCCAAGGTATTTACTTTCCCATGAAACACTTCCCAAAAGAAAGCCAAGACCTTAGGGGAACAAGCTTATACCAAATCTCCTTAAAAGGGAAAGAAAGAAAACACAGTGGACAGCCCAAGGCCTTGAAGAAAGAAGCACAAGAAAAATTACCTGAGGGCACAAGACTCCAAAACCTTTTATCTGGTTCCTGAGATCCAAGCAAACTTTTTCAAGAGAATTCAATAGGCCAGTTAGACTCGCAATTTCCTCATCCTTTAGACCTTTTTGGAACCCAAAGTCCCATACTAGAGTCAAAGGAGATTCCAAAGGGGAACAAAGACGAAACAATCTCTTTCTTTTACAAAGAGATAGAGAATAAGGATGGAAAGAGGTCCTTCAACGAAACCTCTTCAACCTAAACGTCTTTCTAAAACAGAACCGAATTACCAGTATACACATCATACCTGAGAAAATTGTTGAGTTGAGGGAGAGCACTGTAGATTGCCTTCCAAGGTGATGCCAAAGTTGCCCGCCGAGAAACCCCAGCATTCCATCCAAGTGGCCATGAATACTTCCTATCACCTCATACCACAATCTCTCTCTCTAATGGCCATCTCCATAGTCGTTTCCCCAACAAGGCCATATTCTTTTGCAATAATTTCCCTAGTCCTAAACCTCCCTCTTCTTTACTCCTGCACACCACCTCCCACTTCACCAAGTGATCCTTCCTACTTTCTCCCGATTCCCAAAGGATGTCTCTCATCAACTTTTCTAGCTTCTTAGCTTCCCTAGAGGGAATCCTAAAGATTGACAAAAAATAAGTAGGTAGGTTAGTCAGGGTGGCTCTAATTGGGGTAATCCTACCCCCAAAGAAATATAATTATTCTTCCAAGAGGCCAATCTCTTCTTAAACTTCTCTAGGATAGGACACCAGAAACTGCTCTCCCTAGGGTTTGCCCCTAACAGAAGACCTAGGTAAGTCAAAGGCCAAAAAGCTATAGAATACTCTAAACACCCTGCAATTGCCTCCACCTCTCTATCATCCAAGTTTACCCCTGCCGCAACACTCTTCTCAAGGTGAACTCTCAAATTGAAACATACTTTCAAACCTTTTCACCAACGTCTTTAGATTCCTTACCTTCTCAAGGTTCCCTCCTTTTCTTCCATCTTCTTCCTCCATCAATTCTCTCTCATCAATCTCCTTTTCTGTTATTTCTTCTCTTTTAATTCAGATTATTGCAGATGTGATTTACAACTAATATCATTGTTTTATTAAATAAACGTAGCTTATATGAACTTATTTATGAGGGTGGGCTTTGGTGCAATGGTTGGGTTGCTCCATTGCAACCTAGGTGACCGGGGTTCAAATATTGGAAATAGCCTCTTTGTATGTACAACAAGGGTAAGGCTGCATACATCTGTCCCTCCCCAGACCCCGCATTGGCAGGAGCCTCATGCACTGTACTCCTCTTTTATATTTTTATCAACTAATTAGAACCTAGGCACAAATTAGTCATTGCATCAGCATCAGCAAGAGAGGCCTAAACAACTAACCAACGTTTCACCTCATTGATAAAACTGGTAGAGAATACAAACATAACAGGTGCTTGACTCATAAACTCATAAAAATTTAGAGGTTGACAAAGAAATTGAGGAGTCAGAAGGTGAGATTCTAAATTCTGGAGGGACGGATGTAGAAGGTAGACCCCTCAATCATGAAGAGGTGATTCATTAATCATAAGCTCAAAATTGAGGCTCTTGTAAATGTAGAAGGCAACATAGAAACTGATAAGATAGGGGCTGGAGTTCAAAGTTCTGATTGGATAGTGTACAGTTGAAGGAAATATGGGACAAAACCTATTGCAAAAAATCAAAGGAAGACACTGAGGACCATAATAGAGGAGTAAACAGAGTATGTGGAGGATCAAGGAATTGTGAAGAGGAAGTTGGTGTTCAGGTTGATGAGGTTTTTATGGTAAATAGATTATTTTTTTATTGAAGTTGTGGATAGAGAAGTGCAGGTAGGTAAAGCTCTACTGTGGAGATGAACTTGCAAGAAAAATCTTTGAGGACCTTGTAGTTAAAAATAGACGGAGTTGGAAGAAGCAAGAAGTTATGAGTGGAATCCAATATTAATGAAGCAAGGGAAGAGGAGGACAGGGTTGAGGGAGTTATTAGGGTGGGGAGACAGAGGGGTTAAAAGGGTGAGTTAGGGATGGAAGTCAGGTGGATAGTGATATTTTGCGATGCTGGAGTAGACAAGAAGTTTTTCATTATCTTTGTTGTCTTGTAATTCTTTTATTCTTTTAATGAAAAAGTTCTTTATTATCAAAAGAAAAGGTCCCACAACCAAGTGAATTTACAAGAAATCCACCCAAAGTCCTATAAATTACTTAACAATCATACTCTCAAGCAAGAAGCTGTTCAAGAAAATCCAACTATCAGTTTCAGATAGAAACTGCAACAAATTGCACAGAATCCAAAATAATATATTCATCCACTCTCAATTCTTGAGGATGGGATGATAAATTGATAGTCTATCAGAAATTCTGTGAAACATTCTTGAGAGAAATTGTAGTATGCATTAACATCAAATTGACAAAATACCTATTTGAGACATTACAAATGCAGGGAAATATAGATGAAATGTCAATGTTTTCCCTTATAATGTTAGGAAATATAAATTATTAATATCTAGCCCATGCATAAAACCTAAATATTAGTTCCAACCTAGAATTAAAGAAGACATTGAGGTAGTTTTGAACTGTTTTCCTAGTTTCCCAGCAAAAAAGAAGCTAACAAAAGAAGGTTATCCAATAAAAATATTCATATTCTGGTGAAGATGTCATTCTATGTGAGGGAAGAGAAAATAAGGCTGTTTTTGGTTGAAGAAAAAAGTAGGGAAAGGTAGGAAAACCTTTACAAACCTTGTATGGGTTTCCCCACCTTTCCCTACCTTTAACTTCAAACCAAACATAAGCCTAAAAGCTACCAAAAGGGTACACAATTCCAAATGGCTTAACCTAATGCACTGACTGTGAGGGTTGACTGAGCCAATACTATCAGGTAGGCTAACAGATCTAATTCAGACCCATGGAGGCTGGTACTTATCTCCATGCCAAAGCAGATAGTATAGCTAGGAAGGGTTCTCTTTTCTTTTCCTTCCCAGTTTCTTTGTTGAGGATGGGGCCATGTTTGCTCTTCTTGTAAAACTGTGCAACCCTCTCATGCACAACTCTTTTTCTCCTTACTGAAATAGTTACTTTCTTCATATAGAGAGAGACTGAGAGAGAGAGAGAGAGAGGAAGAAAGAGAGTAAAACAAATGAGAAGTACTATCTAAAGTTGCCCATAAACATTGGCTTTTAGCGGGATTACAATCAGTCAATGAAAATGTTGAGTATTTACCAGGTACATAAAACAAAGGTCGATGCCTTGTGTCAAATACTAACAGTTAACAAGTTGAGGAAAACCAAGAGAGGATCCTGGGTTGTAAAGAAACTACTCAGAAACTACCCCACTTTCTATGTGTTTATTTACCACACAGAAGATTCTGGGTTGTAAAGAAACTACCCCACTTTTAGTTAATAAATCCACAGCTAGATTCATGTCTCTAAATGGATATTAAGCTCAGTTTGGAAGGAGTATAAATACAAATATACACAATGCAAATACATACAAAATATAAGTCTTTTCACTCTATATATTTGTATTTGTACTCCTTCCAAGCTGAGCCTTAGTAAAATAAAAAACAAATGTATTTCCTAATATAGTCACTCATGCAGACCAATATCCAGGGGTCATCCAATAGTAGTTGATGACTACTCGCTTGATACAACCTTGAAAATATGCAATTATTTTCTCCAATTCTCTGCCACTGTGAATCAACAAGAATTTACATATGCTTGCCTCCTTTAATCTCCTCGGTACTTGAGGAACCAGAAATATTCCAGGGTTATGTGAAGATTTGAGGAACTGATTTCCACAAATGTTCTTATTTTGATGTAATTGACTACTTCAAAAATATATAAAATATAGTAACAACAACTTAACAGAGTTAAACTTATAATAGAAAAGATTAATGTTCAGATGAAAACAATCGATGATGATGGTGATGACAATGATGATATTTCATATATAACTCCCCTGTACCTGAGTATCCAGCATTCTTGAAAACTCCTTGAGAACATGACGACGATCTTGAGCTCCCACTTGCATTTGTTGAGAATATTGTTTCACTTTCTTTTTCATTAATTTGTAATTGATGTAATATCTTTAGAAAACCAAAGTTAAGCACAAATTAGAATATAAGCAAAACAACTAAGACATAATAACTGACATTTGACATAGAGTATTCAACTTAATAGATTAAAAGTCATGTTAACAAACACATTAGTTGTCTGCAACAACACCAAGATGAAACCAAAAAATTATGCAACAGATGGGCTTCCTTGCATATATATATATATAGATAGATAGATAGATAGATAGATAGATAGATAGATAGATAGATAGATAGATAGATAGATAGAGAGAGAGAGAGAGAGAGAGAGAGAGAGAGAATTGGCAATTTTATTTTCTCAAGAAATAGCATCCAAGAAGTGAATTTCTCCCACTCTCAAATTGGAGCTTTCTTCTTCAGACATGTGGCATGTTAGACCCATATTAATGTGTTTTTTTCAATTTCCTAATTCAAATAAAAGATTCATTATAAAGTCTTCAAGTGGTGTGAGTCCCATTCTTTTAGATGAAATAAGTTGTCACTTACAAATTAAACCTGATTTGATTTTTTTAAATAAGGAACTCAAATTAAATATACCGTATAAAGAGCAAATTTGAAACAAAATCATATACAAGTGTAGTTGCCCCATACTTAGTATGGGGTCACTCTCTACTGTTTCACTGAAATGGCAAGCTCAAATATTTTATAGTGTTAATAGATAACTTTAATATATAGGTACTAGGCAGTTTCCCTAACCTAATAGCTTCCCTAGGAAATTATGTATGGTTTTCGTGCAAAGCCAAACTATCCAAAATTTAATATGGCCCTTCAAATTTTCAAATATCTTAGGTTCACATGAGATTTGTGAAGCATTCTGCATTACCACATTTTATGTTGAAGTCATAGAGCTCTATCATTGTATGGGGTCATCACTCATCAGTTGTGTTTGCAACAACTGCATCCTTTTCGATCATAACAGTCAGGAAAGCTAACAAAATAAAAAACAATCCAAACATTTACCAAATAGTTTTGCAACAACCAAAATCAGATAATTAATATCTGCAGAAAGATATCAAACATACCCCTGCCATTCCTGAATTTGTCTTTCCTTCAACTTTTTCCCGAATGCAACCATCTTTCAGTAAAACCAGTGCAGCTAATTGTAAATAGATAAATAACAGTTAGTTATTAGAGATCAAAACAAAAAGAATGCCAAATACTATAGCAGAAATTATTCTCCCAGAAGAAAGCAGTTTAAATACTATTTTGAAAGTAAAAGGTAATTCATAGAAAATAACATAATAGTATATCAAGAACTAATCAGGTAGCTATATTACCATTCTCTTCTCCTAAGCAGTGTTAACAGAGAAATTATTAGACAATATAACTTGCAATGAAATTTTTTATGAAAACAAATAGAATGCTCGTTATAAATATCTCAACTTTCAGTTGCAAGCTTCTTCTTACAAAACCATGATAGGAAATATCACATTCAGATAAATATAATGAATCAAACATTCCAAAAAAATCAAAGAAAGAAAAAAGAGAGAAAATGAAGGATCACACTGCTCTAACATTTATGGTTGGTAATGTTATGAAAATAAGATCCAGACCAGATATATGCTAATCTGCAAAAACAATTCAAAAAACCACCACTAATTTCCACATAGTGCCTGTTAATAAATTAATAAAACAAAGTAAATAGTTAGTGATCAGGAAAAAAAACAGAGCTAATACTTAATAGACAAAAGAAAGGCCATAACCCAATGTTTGTCCCAGTCATATGGGGTCTTGGGAGGAGTAGACTGGATACAGTCCTAACCTTTGGCTTTTTTTTTTTTTTTGCACAAAGTGGCCACTCTCAGATTCAAACCTGCATTTCATGTTTACCAGCCTGAGATTTTACCATTACACAAATAGACACCTTCCATCCCTTATTACGCAAACATTCACATATGTATACTAGTATATGTATACCTTACACATATATGAGAACTTCTAGCCATGCATGCTGCAAGAGTGCGAGACTGCAGATAAATCAACAAAATTGATCATGATTTTCTGGTTAAATGCCCACCCCTACCCCCTATGCCCCCCCCCAAAAAAAAAAAAAAAAGAAAACAAAAAAAATAACTTGTAATTACCAAAAGGTCATTGTTTTCTCTTTGTTAGCCTGTAATTTGCAGGCCTGTATGGCTAGTGTCTATATGTGTGTGGACATTTAAATCAACAAAAGTAATCTTGATTTTTTATTATTATAAAAAATATGTCCGCACAAAAAAAAAATATACATGTCAACATTCACAGACGTATACTAGTATATGCATACCTTATATATAAGAACTAGCCAAACAGGATAAATCAACAAAAGTAATCATGCTTTCAGGTAAGATGCCCCCCCCCCTCCCACCAAAAAAAAAAAAAGAATGCAATTTGTAATTACCAAAAGATCATTGTTTTCTCTTTGTCAACCTGTAATTTGCAGGCCTGCATGGCTAGTATCTGTATATCTATGTATGAGTTTGGGGTGGGAGTGGGGGTTTGACATCTCTAATCACTAATTTTGTATATAACATTTTTACCCTCATGTTTATTGGAAAGTACAATGAAATTAGAGAGGAAGAACCGAAGAACAAAGCACTGTTATATTTCCTTCAACTGGGAGTTCAGTCATTTTTCAAAAGCAGAGGATAATTTCTATTATGTTTCCATATTTTGTGTTATTCCCAGTTCATTTTTCCCTCTCATATTGCTTTACCAGTTAGACACAAGAAGGATTCAGACAACAGGACTCAGCAACAACTTTGATCAAATCACTAAACAGACTTCAATTAACTAAAGGCCACTTAATGCTCCATTATTACCCAAGAAACAGAAAAAGAAAGGACAGCTCAATTCCTGGTTATAAATCAAGTAATTGAATCTTGGTTTCTGCATGAAATTCAAACCAAAACGAAGATAAAACTGGTCTGGTGCCTCAATTGCAAAGGTAGTTTCACAATTATTCCCTCATAGTAAGAAAAACCAACCCATGAAAGGTAGCAACTCAAAAACCTTTTAATAAGCTTTCTTCAATGGTGCTTGCCAGGCTTTGGTTATTTTCTGAAGTGACAATTCAGACCATTCTGAATGTTCAGAAGAAGTATCTTCTGTACGAAAGTGCTTTTCCTATTTCTCCAAAAAGAATGTCCTCACAAGGTTCATGGATAACTTGAACCTCAGCAAAATGAGGACAGAGTCAGTGATCTACAGAATTCGCTCCAACGGCCATCAGAAATCCAAAATGTTAAGCGCTGTTAACGAGATGCTGCATTATATGATATAAAGGTATAGGTCCAGCTCCTCTACTTTTCTTACACAAGTCAGGCATAGCAAATCTTTAGTTGCGTAACCAACCAAATTGATTCCAAGGATCAACGGTAAATAATCTATTTAATTCCTAGAAGACGAACTAAAAACTAGATTGTGGAACTGTAACGTAAGATTTACCGGATACTAAGCATAGAGACATAAAGATTTATAAACACGAGAAGAAACTTGAAGAGTGGAAAAGAGAAGCATTACAGGAGCTGAATACGGAAAGAATAGCTGTTCTAGTACGTATGGATTTGGGAGCAACTTAGATGATCATCAACAAGGAGAGAAACAGGAATAGAGATTCTGTCAAAAGACAAAACAAAACGAGTCAGAGATCTCTCCGCATACAACGTGACATAACAGAAAAAAAAAAAAAAAAAAAAAAAACAGAACTTCTAATTCACAAACGAGTGTACCAACTGCTCCCTCAGAGCTTTCGAGGGATGGACTAGCAGAACCAAAACTTCAATGGCTTCAATCCAAAAATCTAAAAATCACACTACTTCATGATATGCAGGAGCCAAATTCACCTTACAAATCCGTGCTCCTGACACAACCGAATTCGAAGGTAAAATGAAGCGGATGAACACCCAGTAGAATATAAGGGCTTGGATTGAATTACATTACATCAGAAAAAAAAAAATATATATATATATATATATATATATAAAGCAAAAACAAGTCACATCTCACCGCATGATTTTTGTAAGAACAATAATTTAGGGTTTGACATATTTTCCACACTAAAAAAGAGAAAACCGAACTAAGAATTTAGTTTGCATTTTTAAGAAGGTGAAATAATATGCAATTACTAAATTCAACAATTTTATTAGATTCGTCTACTACACTGTGATGCTCTCGCGTGGAACCAAACGGTTATGAATAGCTTCCTCCTCTTATGCCACGGATCTGTTTGATAAGATGATCCCCGATTTTGAAGGAAGGATCCAACCACATGTACTGTGCTGGCACGGATCTGTTTGATAAGGTGATCCGTTAAGATTCTAATCCGACGGCCAATGAAAGTTCCAGTTTGTAATAACTAACAATAATGGTGTATAAGACAAAGATTCGCATTTAATGTTTGGTGTTCCTTTTGATATAAATGTGACAAGAATGGAGATAATGGCATGGCAGTAGAAAGTAGAAACTGGAAATAATATAATTAAATAAAGACTGGAGGTCTGCATTTATTTACAGAACTCCACCTATATGTATGGACATAAATGATATAAATAAAAGGAAATCAGAAATTAAAATCTTGCGTGGCAGGCTATGTAGCCGTAAGCCATGCATGGTCCTGTCTGTCTTTTTAGTATTTTCCCTCAAAAGATTTAATAGATCCTCGTGGCCCTACACCCCCTTAGTTCTATTATATACCTTCTGTGGAGTGTGGGCATTGACCAGGTTAATACTTTTTCTAAACTGGCAACGTGTCGTGCTCAGGTTGTTCAACTGTAACGGCCGGGTTTCAAAATAAATATCGGTATCGCGAAGGGTTTTCCGGAATTCGAAAATGGATAGCGTAACGTAATTGGGGTAATTTATAGAAATACAACATGTGGATCTGAATTCTGCTTCTCCTAATCACATATTTACTTGTGGTCCGTTTGGTTCGTCAGTATAGGGATCTGAAATTGGAATCGAAATAATATATTCGAATTCTAACTGTTCAGTCAGGACTCAAGGAGGTGAGATTCCGATTCCCATTCACAGTAGAATGTTCCCCGAATATTCTCATTTCAACCTGCAGCCCCAAAAGAAAGAAGTGATTTAAAAACCCCTACAATCATATTTTTCTTTGTGTAAGGCCAACTCACTTAAGAGTCCTACATAGTTTATAGAACCTATTTCAGTTTCAGCCTGAATCAGTTACGGTGGTATTATTAAAAAATTAAATTAATGATATAAAATACTTTAAATTAAGAAATATAGAAAATTTTCTACTTTTTCATATTAAAAAGTATATTTAAAATATAAAATATTAATATATATTTATGATCAGGTTGGTTCAGTTTTGGTTGGTTTATAAATGGTCAAATCGAAACTGACCTAACTTGGTCGAATTGGAAATTGCTAAACCAAAACCGATTGAAAATACTATAAAACCAACCAACTCGAATCAAGTTCAATTGGATTGGTTATTAAAAAAGTTAAAATATAAACCAATTATATATTCTTATATATTTCTATTGTTTAACTTCCATTTAACAAAGCCCGTACATCACATGGATCCCCACTAATAGTTTATAGAATCTGATTTTCAGTTTCAACCTGGACGACAAGATTAGGTGATTTCAGTTTTGATTTTAATTCCAATTTCAATCATGATCCAAACGGATCTTTAAATATACCTTTGATTTCGAAAACTACTTAAATATATTTTATTGGATGATCCCATTTTACACAAATAGCATGTTCAATTTTGTTCCTCTATGGTTGAAAATACACTCGTTGTAGTTCATCAGTTGCAAGTAACAGTGTGCGGGGATGCAGGCATTCAATTTAAAGAATGGGGTAGAGAGTTTGAGTGACCCATGATTGGTCGGGTTGGTTTACAAATGACCAAATCGAAATTGGCCTATCTTGGTTGAGTTGGAAAGTTGCTAAACCAAAGCCGATCAAAAATATTAGAAAACCAACCAACTCAGGTTGAGTTTGACCAGATTGGTTATTAAAAATTTTAAATATAAAACAATTATATACTCTTATGTATTTCTATTGTTTAACTTTTGCTTAATAAAGCTCATGCATTGCACGGGTCCCCGCTATATATATTATGTTGTAATTTTAAAATTTGTAATTTGTTTTTTAATAATACCACTATAATTTTTAAATTTAATTTTTTAAGTCTAAATCCTTTGAACCAACCAACCAAACCAAAAATTGACTCAGACCAATATAACCTAAGTTGACCAACTCACCAACCTAACCATCAGGTCAATTTGGTTGGCCAAACAACCTACAACTAAATCGAACCAACCTGTGGACACTCCTAATTTTAGCTAAACTAATAGTTTAATCTCTAATAACTATTGAAAATTTTCTATTAAATAAAAAAACAAAAAATAGATTTATACATAATTATTGAAAATATATTTATCACAAAAATGCAATAAATATAAATTTTAGTATACATAAATATATAATAAATATTGATTAAGATTTTAAAATTATTATCAACTAATATAAGTGAAATAATGATTTTATTATTAGCACATTAATACTTGCAATCATTATTATATATTTTTTATATTTTAATGTATATTAAAAACATTTTTTTAAGTTATTACCTATTTTTGTTATTCGAAAGCTTCAATACCTCTAAATTTTTAATCTATTTTTCATTATTTCTATAATATTTAAAAAATTTTAAATTATTTATATTTCATGTTCTTATTATCAAATATTATTAAGTCTATTATAATTATTTTTGTGTTTTTTATAAATTTTTTAAGGTTATTACATAATTTCTTTATTTAATCTATTTTGTTTGTTTTTAAATAATATTTACAATATGATTTAGTTATTAATTTTATAATATTTAAAAATAGTTATTTACAATATTATTTATCTATTTAAATAATATATTTATCTAGTTATTTTAATATTACATACTTATTGAATTTCGTAATCCATAAAATTATAATTTATACTATTATTACATAATTTCGTTATTAATTTTGTAAAATATAAAATTATTATTAATTCAAATATTATGGAATATATTATAACGATTTTCTATTAAATTAATAAAAGTTTTAAGTTTAATACATAATTTTGTTATTTTAACTATTTAAAATTTAGTTATGTTAAATATTTCTTTATTTAAAATATTCAGTTATTTAAATATTTAAATAAAATGTAAAATATTTAAAATTTTTCATTATTTAAATTTTATCTATTTTATTATTACATAATATTAAATATTTTTATATAATATTTGTCTATTTTTGTATTTTTCATTTTTAATATTTAGTTACTGAAATTTTTTTAAATTATTTTTTTAATTTTAAAATTTTAATATTTGAACAATATTTAAATTGAATAATTTATAAAATTATAATTTATATTATTGGTATATAATATCATTATGAATTTCATATAAAAGTATAAAATTATTAATATTTTGAATATTATTAAATCTATAACATTTTTTATGTTTTTAATAAATATTTTAAAGTTATTACATAATTTCATTATAGTATTTAAATAATTCTTAAAATTTTTAATTCAAACATTCTTTTGATAAATATAGATAAAAAGTGAGGAATAAGATAAATAGTAATTGGAAATAATGTAGGGGGTGTTTGGCAAGTCTTTCAACAGAAGATCTTCTAGTAGCTAAAGACCCATAAGACCACAAGAGCTTCCATAAATAGATCTACAAAGTCTAAATATCGTTTGGTTGCAGTAATTGTAACAGATATTATAGAAAGCTAGGAAGACATGAAGATCATTTGGCAAAGTCCATAACGGTGATGAATAAACATGTGCTTAATACATGTGAAATATAAGTGTGAGACCCAATAATACATCAAATAGTACTCTTGGGTCCCACTTATACAAAATATTAAAGTGGACCCATTAATGCATTCACTATAACAAAAGAAATCAATCTAGGCCCCACTCTCATCTTTGGCTTACACATACATCACCTGCTTGACCCCACTCATGTGTTTACCTATACAAAATATTGAAGTGGGACCCACTCATGCATTCACATATACAAATAAAACAATGTGGGCCCCACTCTCATTTTGGGCTAGCACATATATTATCTATTGGCCCCATGGCTGTTATAGTGTTCAATATCCTGTTTAGTATAAAATTGTAAATGGATTTCTTTCAACCATGGATGTTACAGTGTTCAATATCCTCTTTAGTATGAAATAATTCAAAGAAGAACCATCATATGTTCCAAGATAATTTATGATAGCAATTCTAGCAGACAACAAGAAAATTAGAGAATTAATAGTTGTGTGTAACAGAAATAATTTTCCAATAAATAGCTAATCTTCATCAACAGAAAAGAGGAATATGCATTATAATTTGGCAATTGGGAAAAGTTAGAAATGAATTGATAATCAATTGTAGCAGAAATAACTCTTCAATAAATAGTAATATAGGATTTGAGGCAATTTTGTAATATGCCCACAAGGAGGTTCTTTCTTAGCTCTAGACCAGCTAGAACTAGCAAATCAGTGAAAGAATCTACACTGCATTGAGTTTCAAAAAACAAAAAAAAACCATCGTCCCGCCTTCACAGTAATAGTAATTAATATGATATCATAAGTACTTTTAATAATTCTCTCTCTCCCCATCGTTGGTTCACTTTAGCAAACAACCCTTTGATTTGATCTTGGGAGCGAGCTTGACCATAGAAGGGAAAATTCAATTCCAAGACATTGAAGCAATTTAATAAACATGGAAAGTAAACAATAGAAACTTCAATTAAAACAAAGAACGCATACGAGTTTTAATAAATTGAATGGAAATTCTTCAAATTTAAGCACTCTTAATTCTAAGCACTTGGGCTGGTCGTCTCTGATCTCTCAACTCATCCTCGAAAAACACATGAAGGTAAGCAAATTGGATATTAAACAGAGAGGCGAAGAGATACCTAGAAGGAAACCAAGATAGAAAAAGAAGAATTTAAAACCAGGGGAATTATGAAA